GGACTCACGCTGGGTCAAAACTGACAGCACTATAAGGAAGTGTTAACAGAATGCTGGTCAACTTTGACCCAGTATAGTTTTAATTTCCTCGAACATTTGACGAATTAGCCAATGATTGGTTAGAAAGAATAGGCGAGAAAAAAGATGATGATGTGCTAGTGACCCTGAGTATGATATTGCAGATGGAGAACCGAGGTACAATTTGAAAAAATCCAAGATCCATATCATAACGAGCAGAAAATTAAATGAGGGTCAAGTATGTGATTATTATTATTATTATGGAAAAGTAATACTGGAATATCATACAGAAGGTGAACCATTTGCGTTCAATGAATCAATCGTGGGAAAGAAAGATTAAAGATGAGGTCCGTATTCTATGAATTAATGAACGAATAAATTAAAATAACTATTACAAAGACAGAATCGAATTGCAGTAAGAATTGAGTCGAGATATAATGGAATCATTGATAATGTTGAAGCTGAATTCGTTTGAGAAATGCTTCTACTTCATAAATGTAACATTCGAATAAAGATAAATATCTGCTAAATAAATTAATCAGTCAAAATTACATTAAATAAAAAATCACATCAAACAATATTTATAATATATTAAAAAGTAATTCTAATCAATGATTCCAACGCCTCTTCCAATCTGTACTCTCCTTTTTTTTTCTGTTAGCAATTAACCAAGTTCTTTATATTGTCGATAGCTTCGAGTTCCAGATCAACTACAAAGTTCTAAATCTCGCCTACATGCCCAAAACAAGCGTAAGCGTCAAATAATTCTCGCATTTGCAATCTGGGAAGAGCTCAAATGACTTTTTATCGCAAAGATGAAGAAAGTATGTTCCATATTATAACCGACAAAATCAATAAACTCAAATCTGAAACATATCTGGTGGTGTCCGTCACTGAAAACCTTTGTTTTAATATTAATGTCGTACAAACAAACAAACAAACAAACAAATAAAAATTGGAAATTTTTTTTAATTTATTTATTCCACAACCTCAAAATTTAAATTGATTTATTATCCTCGTCCAATAAACATAAATTAATTAAAACAAATGGGAAATTATTATAATTAGACCTTAAAATAGTATTTCCTATAAATTTATGGTGAACTTTTTTTTTTGCAAATAATAATTAATTTTTATTAATTCATAATATGCGAATATTCACGGTGGTTGTATTAATTCTCTTGTCATACCTCTCTCTTGAAGTCGTAGCGGTAGAATATGCGACCTGTGAAGCATATTTGAATTCCATCCAAAAGAATGCGAGCGCTTGTGATGCTCTCCACCCCAGCGATAAGAATATTTCCCCATGTTCATGCTCGCAAGATTTTATTAACTCCTGGACTTGGTAAATAGAAGCGTTTAATGAGATATTCAAATCCCATTACATTTATAAGTTATTATTAATTTCCAGTCATTGCAATATTTTATCATTATCTTTTTTAGTTTTCACCTTTGCGTCCTTCATTCTTCTAACGGTCAAGATAGTAATACGCCTCAAAGTAAGTATTAAATTTTATTTTGAAATATTCCTTATTCATCTATTTTTTTTCAGGTTAATACAACTTATGAATATGCTTGCCTTCTAAATATTAATAGACATCGTAGATGGTTGCTTCAAGCAGAATTACACCGATTTGACTGTCCCTTCCAAACCAACTTGTCCAAGCAGCATCGGAATCCCACCAAGTCTCATTAATACCCCACTCTCAACAACTCCTAGTACCCCAACCCTGGATGTGGTTATTAGCTCAACTTCGGATTTTTTTATCCCAACCTTGAATGCTGTTACCCTAACTTCAACTATGGATGTTGTAACTATAACCTCAACTACGACGATGGATTACACAACTACCACTAAAAGACCCATAAATGCCCCCAACAACAACAACAACAACAACAATAATAATAACAATAATAATAATAATAATAACAACAATAATAACAACAACAATAACAACAACAACAATAACAACAATAATAACAACAACAACAACAACAAGAGTTGCAATGTGAATGTCAACGGAACAGCTACTATCAATAAGATCGAATGCATTTCTAACGAATCCATTAATATTAACATCATTACTAGCTTCAATTTGCTCAGTGGTTTATTTTTGGTCGCATTCATTTTATTGAATTAAATAGGGGCAATAAAATTGTAATAGCAACAAACAGGCTCATATTCCACATCGAACCAAAGCATAAGCTTTGTGAGAGCGCTTTGGATCGGGCAGGTTTCCCCCATGCAACTAGACATTTATTTTTTCATCCTTCATTGCTGGTGACATGTATCCTTCGTTGTATTTTCTTAGTCAAATAAATGGATTTTCCTCGTGATAATAATATTAATATGGGGTTTCGTTGAATCTCGAATTATGTCATGTAATAAGTGGGCTTGAAATCACAATTGTGTACAAGTGTTAAATATTAACAGCTAATGAAAACGTTATTATACAATATTTTTTCCTGATTCTTTTCCGTGCCACTATGTTAGTTTTTCTGCTTTAATTCTATATATAGTACTAATTTTGCATTAGAAATGAAAACACCATTATTTTAACTCGTGTAAGATGAACATAAAAGCATCATCAACACACAAAAAATCCCCAAATTGCAATATCTTTTACAACTATCTATTTTGACAACTCAATATATCTTTTTTTAAAAATATAATACTTATCAAAAATGCTTACTTTTTTACTAGTAAGTTTCTTATGGATTGATAATTAGAATTTTCCCTTCATTACAAAACCAACTTAATCTACATCAAAAATTCAATGAAATAATTAATTTGATAGAACTTGGAAAATTAAAACAAATTAAACACTTATTTGATTAAAAAGTTGAACTGGGCTCAGATTTCTCTATTGTATATCTAGTTCATTATGCTCACGATATTATTCTTTGACATGTGTGTTTTTACTTATAAATAAATTGCAATAAAAAGATCATACAGGAATGAAACTTTTAAGGAACCAAATTTAAAAAAAGAGAGAGATCTCCCTCCAGAGAGAGTGCATGTCTCTTTGATTTTTCCATTTAAAATTTATTCGAAAATTATTCCTCCCCCCCCCCCCTGATTCATAAAATCGCAAGTTATAAAGGAAAAATAAAATAATTAATACTATTAAACTTAGGTTTAATAAAGTTATCCTTTTTACACGACTACGCAAGCACCCTCCTTGTTGTCTTTGTGGCATGGAAAATGATCTCTGGTTGCGATGATGACCAATCAAAAAAAAAATTTTTAAAGAAACAGTCTATGAATATACTGTGTGTTTCAAAAAAAACCGAAAAATTAAAACAATCATTGTGGAACAACCATTGCATTGATTTGTATGAAAAATGGCCCATTCGATAGATTAAAAGCAGAACCTTTTATTAACTATACTTTAATACAAAAATGCTTTCACTATTAGTTTTAATTAATCTTGATTTTGATCAAATTAAACTAATTAGAAACAAATCAGGAATTAGATTTCGTTTTTTTAATAATGAATTGTCCCAGATCTTGAAAATTTTGACTTTTATTCCATTATTTGATAAACAGTTACTAAATATTTTGAAGAAATAAAGAAAAAACCAGTAGATAAATTGTATTAAATCACGTGATTTCAAATGTGAACCAACAATCAACTCTTCTATGAGCCAAATCACCTATTTTGTTCAACTTATTAATATTGAAATAGATATTTGTGAATGAAATGCTCATAATATGATGTGTTTGTCAGGTAGATGTATCCCTTTTATTATAATAATATAATTGGAAAAAAACAGTAAAATTCAACCCTATTTGCGCATTTTAAAAGCCAATTACTCATCAGATTCAGTTAGAAAATGATTTAAAATAACTTTAAAAAGCAAAGCTTTGTTTAAATTTTATTTGAAACAAGTTGGGTTGTTTTTTAGTGAAAGTTACAAAAATTTTCCGTTTTTTTTGAAACACACTGTATATTAATACGGTAATAAATATAACTATTTTTATTTAAGAGTTGGGAATTTTAATGATCGACGTTCTAAATTATATGTATGATTGGCTAAATAAACGCGACATTTTTTTCTCCAAAAACTTATCATAAAGGTCTTCCAGGAACATGTTGATGATAATTAAATATTTACTTGGATGATATTTCATGGATCTTTAGTAGATTAGGAGTTATTCCCTATACAGGTGAATATTAATTATAATTACGTGTTTTTTTTTAGTATTTAAAATTTTCGCCCTGATACAACACGAGAGAATTAATAAAAAAGACACTCACAAAGATTGTTCGATCGTGATAAAATGCAGACAATAGAGTACGTACATCCCAGCCCGCAAGTTTTATTTATTAATTTATATATTTTGCAAGGCTAGCTAAAGTTGACCCTTTCTATTTCACGCCATCTAGAACAGCAAGTAAATCCGTCATTAACTAACTTGGATATATATATTTATTTATTTATTTAAATTAAAGATATTAGCATGCAGATAGATAATGATACGGACATCGAAAAAAATATCATTGAATGGTCAAATTCTTCTAAAAAGTTACATTAGAGACAATTAACGATTGTACACACAGCAAACATTACAGCAAGAAGTAACTAATGATGAATCGAATGTAGTTTAACGTATTTCAAGTAAAAAATAAAGCTTTCAGTGTTGGGGATTTTGACAATTTCCAATGGGTATAGGGTGAAGAAAATAATTATAAAAATAATTTTGTTATAATGATTGGAGTATTTAATTAAACATTGATAATACTACTAACTATTTACAAATTCAGTCTAATTGATTGATAACGATAAAAATTAATATCAAAATAAAAAATTTACCTGCTTATAAAATGTTCATAAAATTTATCAATAGAATTAATATATAAAAGAAAGATTTGATATATTGTAAAAACAAAGCGTCTCTCTGCCAGCCTTTTTTTAATCAAATAAAATAAGTCGCAAAACACCAATTAATTAATTCATCTAGTCAACTTCCTATTATTTTACATCTCAATATCACCCATGACATATTCCTCGTAAGACATGGCACTAATCAGTTAATTGATAATTGTATAAATAAAGAATTAAATTTTATTTTAAAAATCTAATTCAATCCAACTTCAATTCATAAAAAACATTTTCCCCTCCTCTCCTATATATTATATACTTCTTACTTTATATCACTTTCTTCTGTTTCAGAAATTGTATCATCTAAAGGTTCATCTTCTTGTAATGGTGCAGTAGTACTATATTGAGTTAATGAATTGACGAATGTGAGTGTTAATATACATCACATAAACTAAATTATGATGTTTTGATATGCACAAAAACCAATTACCTTAAACATCTTACAGTAAAGAACAATATTCTTTTTAACTTCTTGTTATAAAAGAAGAAATTAAATGCCCATCTAAATTATGTTTTTATAATAATAAAAACAATAAAGAAGAATGTGGGAAGGAAATAGTAGAGAAAGAAAGAGAATGGTCATTTTGATGAATGAGCTTGTATAAAAGAACAGAGGCCCATATACAACATTATATGACACATCTATTCTTAAAAGAATAGTAATAACAATAACAAAATAGATTCTAAAAAATAAGATGATTTTTTGATTTTTTCTCCAGTTATAAAAAAATTTTTTTTTTTACAATATACTCTTATCACCCGATTGTAAGTAATTATAATATATGTATAGTTTTCTGATACATATACAATGTAATATATATATATATATGTGAGATACGTACATAACACCATCGTCACTATTTGGATCAGCATCAGAGTCAGGATTGAAAGAATAGATGTTACACTCGTCCAAAAAAATAATATCATCAACAGTTTGCCATAGCATAAGATCATTGATAATGTGAGCACGTCCTAGATTAAATAGAGTGTTATTGATATAATTGCACACCATTGGAACCGACGGTTGTTTGGTAAATTGATCGGGTTTAACGTCACTACATCATAATTAGGTTATAGAAGAATTATAATATAATTAATTAGTTGATTAAGTAATTGTCTCTCGTGCTCTTTTCTTTTCCAAACTCCACCATCCATCTTTATTCCAAAAAAAAATCAAAACTAATACAAACGAGAAATCGTAATCAGGATAAGAAGCATTCAAAGTTGCAATAAGATTAAACAAAGTTCTTCGTGAAGAAGGTTGATCCATTGAACCAAAAGGTGATATTATTGTATCGAAAGAATGAGCATCGGGTGAAACACTTTGAGCATTTTGTTGTGATAAATTATTGTTCCATTGACTTTCAAGATTCTTGTAAAGTTTTTTATCAACTCCAGCCAATTTGCCTTCAATAATACCAATTATCAATTAAATTATTTAAAATTCAAATAATTTCATTTCTTTCATTTCCTCATTTCTTCATTTCTTGCCACCTCATATTTATACCTACATGAATAAGTTTCTATCCTACCAACAACTCTACATTCCGGGTTTTCAAATACCAAGGCAGCATTTATTGGTTCAAGTGAAGCAATATCAAGGAATTTCATCTTTTGTTTACCAGCTTATTGCAATATTAATAACGCTTATTATTATTATTATTACTATTATATATGGTTTGTTGCTTTTGTTTATTAAAACACGTGAAATTCGTATTTTATTTTTATTTTCAAGCATAAAAAGATAATTAAAGAGTAGAAAGAAACTTGAATAGTGGATTTAAGTAATTATAAGTCGAATTTTTTTAGAGTGAGAGAATTAAAGTTTAATAATTTTTAATGTTTTCGTGAGAAAAAATTTAAATTCGAATAAAATTGGGAAGGATTATCCTTTGTTATTATTATTTAAAGGATGGATAATCCTTCCAATTAAATGTGACATTAAATATCAAAGGATCAAACATTTAAACTTTTGTGCATGCTTATCCCACTTTTTACGTGTGCGTGCGCACAGTTTTCGATTCAGATTGCTTTAGAATAGGATAGCATTATTCCTCGTTTATACTAGGCCAATATAATTGGTTCAAATGTATTAGTATCTTTGCACAAAATCGTCATATACACCGACATTTGGTGATCTGGATAAGAAAGAATATTAATATAAAAAACAAGTTAAAATATTATAAACCTAAAGGAAATCGTAAATTATTAAAGGTTCTAAAAACGGGCAATAATATATCACTTATCATTTTGTCTAGTAACACTTAAAATAATAATTTTAGCCAAAACAATCGATTTAGACCACAATAAAATTTATATTTATTTAATAATACTCCACGCTAAAGACTATTTTTTTTGTCCATTCAAAATATATTTTTGTAAATCAACTAAATCAATTGCAGATGATTTCTAAAATTAGACTAGTTCGTATTTCCAAAACAGTAATTATATTAAATTAGTATATATTAACTGCTGGCTGTTATAGAATAACTAATGATGTTTTGATAATGCGATAAACTAGTATTAGTATATTAGTTGACCACTATGTATTCTATTAATTAGAAAACTATTATTGGAAAGCAAAAACTCCAGTATTTCTTATTTTGAAACGTTTTAATGCATCAATTTGTAAACATCATTTTCCAAAGATCTTACAAATAAATGAAGTTCCATGGCCTTTGTTAGGATTGAGCAAAGTCAAAGTGTTAGCGAAAGGATCGTCCCGATAACATGTATGCGTGGCAGCGGTTGCAATTCTAACGCCTAAAATCTATATTAATATTAATATTGATATGGGACGCCGATTTTCTATTTCATAGAATTTGTATAAGAAATATGAATTCCGAGCGACTTTTGTCGCGCCCATGAAATAAGTTTTTGTCTAAATTAGATCCTGAGGCACAGGCTTGTTTTAACTATGTTTTTATAAGCAGTTTTAGACAAATTTGTTATATAGTGAACTAATAAAATATCAACCATCTATCCACCTACTTGCTATATTGATGTTAGAACGTATATCGATCGCATCACGTAGATTAACTAATTATTTTATACAAATTGACTTTAATACTAATTAGTTGATATAATACTTAAAAATAAAACCAATACTATTTCCGATTCTCAGAATCATGAGGTAAGGACTTCGAGACAGACAAGAAAATAAACAAGAAAAATAGTTAAACGTCATTTTAATAATATTATTTAATAATAATATTATAAAAATAAAGAAAATCAAAATTTACAAATTATAACGTTGGTTAATATTAATAATAATTTTGTTTTGAAAAATAGATTGAAAATAAAATGGGAATAGATAATAATCAAATCCCATTCAACAACGATCAAATATATATCCTCATTCTTTTATATTTATCATTTTAATAATTCATCCAATAATTGATTATTCAATGGAATCATATTTCGTTGCTGTAGCTGTTAATTTGAATCATCAATCCAACAAATTCATGTTATTATATAATAATAGAAGTAATAAATCAAAACGTATATAATAATAATTGTATCACATTAATAATACCTGACTGCTGCTGGCAAGTATAGTAATAGAAGAGGTGAGATTTTTATTCATTACTCCATTCACCATTTTTTTTAATCCTTCTTCTAGGTCTTTCCTTAAGAAACCTTCCATATCAATTATCTTAAAATCCGCTGATCTCTTTTTTTTTGCAGTAGCTGTGTTAGTAGTTGTTTCCTTCTCACTATTATTATTTACAGCTGGTGATTTGTCTTCATCGTCACTAAAATCAAGTAATTTTTGTTCTGATTGTTTAGGTGATGATGATAATACTGATGAGGAAGAAGAATAAGATGAATAAGATGAATAAGAGTAAGATGAAAATGAAGAAGAAGAAGAAGAAGAAGGATGATGATGATGATGGGGATGAGAATGAGGTGTTATAACAGATTTTATTTCTTTTTCTTCCTTAAATTCGTCACCAATCAAAACAAAAGTTTGAATTTTTTTACCATTTGTATTACCAGTAGTATCAATTGCTGTATCAGTATTATTAGCGGTGCTATTATTGATGTTATTGAGTTTAACCAAAATTTCCCTAGGTTCATCACCACCACCACCATCACCTTGAACTTTTTGAAAACTATTATTGGAAATAACATTATTAATATCGATAATAATTCTTGGATTATAATTATGACTATTGTATTTTTTTTCATCATGATGTTGTTGATCAATGGTTGATAAAGTATTTAATTTTTTGATTAGTGATTGATTGAAATCATTATCATTACTAATATTAGGATTTTCTTCTTTTGGTGGAGTTACAGCTGAAATGGTAGTAATTGGTGTAGGAATTGAAACCGTATCTTCTTCATTCAAGTTGTCGTTATCATTTTCTTTACTAATCTTGTTTTCACTTGTACTATTCCAGTAATCAACATTATCTTGATAATCGTTATTATTTTGATTATCTTGTAATTCACTTCCCCAATAATCATCTTCATTATTCTTTTCATTAATATTATTATTACTCATGCTATTTATTAATTGATTTTCTGCGTCTCCCCAGTAGTCATCATTACTATTATTAGCAGTTTCAACGATATTATTATAATCTTCTACATCCTTTTGATTGTTACTCTGATTAGGGTTTTCAACAATGCTATTCCAACATTCGTTCTTTTTCCTATTAATATTTTCACTCAACCCTTCATTTTTTTCATTAGTATATTCAGTTACATTATTCCAACCTCGATTCTTCTCTTCATTGTTCTTCATATTCCAACTTCCATCATCCTCTTCGTTATTCTTCACATCACAATCTTCATTCCTAATATCCTCCTCAATATTATTTACATTCCAGACTCCGTTGTTCTCTTCATTATTCTTCATGTCCCAACTATCATTATTCTGGTTAGTAGCAGTAGCTTCAGTCTTAACATTCCAATAATCATCATTATCGTTTTTATTTTGGTCAGTTTGAACTACACTACTACACCAATAATCATCATCTTTTTCGATTGTTGTTGTTGTTGTAGTTGGTTCCTTACTACTAGCAGAAGCTGCTGTTGAAGTAAAAGATGACACTGTATTACTTCTTGAAGATCTATTAAGATATGGATTGTTGTTGTTGTTAGCTAATGATGAAGAGGATGGGTCGGTGGTAGAGGGTGGTGGTGGAAATGTATTAGATCTAGTAGGCGCAACTCTGATGTTACTATTATCATTAACAAGGTTATATTTCGCGTATTTATTATTGACAAATAGCTTTTTCTCCTCCAAGGCCATAGCCTAAATGAATAAATATAATTAATTAATTAGTTGAATAATCGATAAATAAATGAATATAACACATAATTTAACATGTACAGTTCACTCTCTCTGTATAACGACCATTTGGCCTAAGTAACAATATCCATTATAGAGATAATCCGTTATAGACAGTAATAATTTATGTCCCATATATAAATTGGGCTTAAATTCTCATAGAGCAAGGTCCGTTATAGATAGAGTGAACTAATAAATGTAATCGATGTTTTTCTTTTCTTTCGTTTCTTTATCCCTTCATTAATGCATACATCACACGTACGTTTTGATCTTGACAAACCCCCAAGGTTGCTGCATTCCAAGGTCTAAAAATAGCACTCGGTCTTCTATTTGGTCTAAAAACTCTTGGATTCATTTTTTAATTATTTTCTATAACTAACAAAGTAAATGTGAAATTTATTATATTCGAAAAAAGAATTTTTGAGAAGAAAAGGATTTTTATGAATTATGAGAGTAAAGGTGAAAAAAAATTATTAGTGAGTTTTTTTTTAGAAAAAAAAAAAAGGATTAATCAACTACTAATACTAATGTAATTGTTTTTTATCAATCTAAATTGAGTACTATAAATACCATGTGTTTAGTATCTATTTTTTCCAAACATAAATTAAGCTTTTTTATTATTATAAAGATTTAAGATTTTTAATTGTTACGATTTTATCCATATCTTTAAAATTTCCAGAATTTGCCAACAATTAAACCACAAATTCAAAACAAATTTATGCAAGGAAACAAATTTATAAAAAAAACACGTTTTTTCCTAGTCATGAGAAAATCTTAAAAATTAAGTAATGATCAGAAAGATTTAAAATTCGCCGTGTAAATAATTAGTACAAATTTAGAAACTTTACTCGTAGAAAATCACTAATGTATAACGTTACGCTAGCATAATACACTGATTGCATGCAAGGGGACAATGATTTTCTTCAGTGGTAAAACACTAAATTCTGTCCGTGCTACAGTCACTGGAAAAAAGTATCACAGTGAAAATAATTGAATAACTCCTGTGATATAAAAAGTCATTATTTTACTAATTAAATCGATGTTGTGTGATAACAAAAAAATCTTTTCCATAATGAATTCTATAACATGTTCAGGTTTCACAACATTCAAATTATTGGTAATTTTATAATCTTTAAAAGACAAAAAAAAAAATTTCCATAAATTTTCAAAAAACTTTAGATTAGAGCCAACTTTAGATGTCATGTTTTAACACATTTTGAGAGCTTAGTAAATGTTGTTTCTTTTGTCTTCAACTATATACTTACAAAACCTCACAATTAATCGTCAAATACCGGTCAAGAATTGAACTGAAATGTAAAAATGACTAAAAAAAATAAATGTGTTACATTTAAAAATTTTTTTTTCATACTGTTATTCGTTTGTAACTAAAACCATTACGTTTTTTTAACTCTTATTTTTAATCAACAACACAATGACTCTTACAGAAACAAATACACAAAATACTGAAAATACTGAATTAACTGACTTTGAAAGAGGAAGAATAATTGGTTGTTGGGAAGCTGGTCAAACAACTTGAGAAATAGCAAATGCCATTGGTCATACTCAAACACAAGTACAGTGTGCGATAAAAGCATCTTGTGAAAAAGGTCAAATTACTGTTTTATCTAGAAGTGGAAGACCAAAAAGTTTAACAGATTGAGGCTCTAGGACTTTAAAAAGAATTGTCATAAAAAATCATTTTATTCCTGCTAGAGATAACTAACATATTAAATGAAATCACAGACACTCCTATTTGTGATCAAACAGTTTGTAGCTATCTCCATGGAGAAGGATATTGTAGTCGAGTTGCATTGAGGAAACCTTTCGTTTCTGAAGTTAATCGAAAAAAACGATTTAGTTGGTGCAGAGAAAGAAAAAATTGGAACATTGATGACTGGAATAATATTATTTGGAGTGATGAATCAAAATTCAACTTGTATCATTCTGATTGACGGCAAAGAGTTTGGAGAATTCCAAAAGAAAAGTATGATGTTGACTGTCTTATTCCTACTTTTAAACATGGTGGAGGAGGAATAATGGTGTGGGGTTGTTTCGTGAACAATCAACCAGGACCCTTGGTAATAATAGAAGGTAAAATAACTGGTAAAAGATATCAAGAGCTTTTAGAAAATTCTTTATTGCCTTTTATGAATGAATTAGGAACTGATTTAAATATATTTCAAGATGATAATGCACCAGTTCATACTGCAAAGGCAGTGCTTAAATGGAAAGAAGATAATTTTAATTCCTTCTCTTCCTTGGCCTGCTCAGAGTCCTGATCTCAACCAATTGAACATGTTTGGGATTATTTAGAAAAGGCAGTTCATAATCTAAAACCACATCCAAAAAATATTGAAGGATTATCTATTTATTTAAATGAAGAGTAGGAGAAGCTTGGCCGTAATTTTTTACAAGAAGAGTAGTTCGATTCTTGGCCGATATTTGACAATTAATTGTGAGGTTTTGTAAGTATGTATTTGAAACAACATTTACTAAGCTCTCGAAATGTGTTAAAACATGACATCTAAAGTTGGCTCTAATCTAAAGTTTTTTTGAAAATTTCCGAAAAATTTTTTTTTGTCTTTTTAAAGATTATAAAATTACCAATAATTATGAACATGTCATTATGGAAAAGATTTTTTTTGTTATTACACAACATCGACTTAATTAGTAAAATAATGACTTTTTATATCACAGGAATTATTCAATTATTTTCGCCGATCATCAGGTGAAGCGATACTAATACTTTTTTCCAGTGACTGTACCTTGCACCCAAAAACGTAATATGGCTTGGCGTTGTGTTTCTTGAGTTGATGATTCAGTTTTTACAGGAAAATAAAATGAAAAGACAGTTAAGAATTTGTTTACAAATAGATTTAAATAATATTGCTTGTTTTATAAAAACATGATGTAAATCATTTACAAATTTGGTGACTTTACACATTCCTTTACAAATTCATAAAAATTATCATTTTTTTTGTTAATGTACATTTTAAAAGGGATTATCAATTGTGACAACCAATTGATGTTGCCATTCGACAGCTGCATGAATACTACAACTATAATTTGTGAAAATTACTTATTTGAAAAAAAATAAAAGGTAACACCTATTCGCCATCATCATTAATTATAAAACTGCATACATGCATTCTCTTGGCCCTTCAAACAATTTGGTCTAACAAGATATAATTGTCCTGCTGATATCTTAAGGATTCATTTTAATATATATATATATATATATATATATAATAATAACATGAATATTGTGATACAGATATACTATGTAATTACCCCAGACCAATTTATTACAAACATTAATTATTTCTTTTATTACCATTTATCCTGCTAAATTGAATTTTTATAATATTGATAACATGTGATAATGATACTAACTATAGAATAAAGGATAAAATGGTTATGAACGAAAAAGAACGTGCGCTATCATTGCTGCATCGTCGTTGGATTGATGAAGTTATTGACCATGGATCATTATTCGTAATGATTATTATTTATGTAGATTACGCATGTGATGATGCCTATGGGTTTATAAAATAACAAGGAAGGGGATTTCCAACAAATCGTACTGAAGGAACTCCACTTCAGATTTGATTACTAATAAATTAACATTATTATATATAACGATAATTAATCAATGATAAGTTATTTAGAAGAAGAAACCTAATATGAAAAAATCAATATCAAGCATTGGCGCGAAACAAAAGAAGAATTAACTAACGATTTGGCTACAAACATTTACCGCAATTTTTGGTGATCAAAAATGTCGTTACTACATATATATATTTTTTTATTATGTTTCATAAACCACTAGAACATTTTACAGAAGAAAAAGAATCAATGTGAAACGATAATAGTATTTCTGATAAGAAGTAGTTAAAAAAGAGAAATTATTTTATTGATGTTGATCTGTTCATTACGTATTTTCCTTTATTAGAATTAGTTTATTTTAAAATAATCACCAATTATTATTATGAAATTTTTTCATTTACAAAATTTTTTTTTAAATTAAATTACCCAAATTACCCAAAAATAGAATTATTTATTGTTATATGACATAAATTTTTCATTTTCAATTTTTTTATTTTAAATTTTTATTTATCTTTTAAAAATAGATATGTCAGAATCAAGTTGGAATTCACATTTCCATCATAATCAACCTTACGACACCTCCTCATACGACAGCGACAACAACAAAAACAATAACCATAGGAGAAGTATACCTATTTCTCCTATTTCTCAACAAAATCTTTCTTATGCTCAATATGGACAAGTGCAGAGTCACGAAAGTGTTAATATAACACAGCCAAGCAGCTATGAAACTAATATTAGAATTAACGATTCTGAAAAACACCTCTCTTCAGCTTCTTTTAATAATACTGGAAGTATAAATGAGAAAGGACAATTTCAGGAGCCTCCTACACCAACAACTCAACATGGAAATTATACAAATGATGGACTTACAGACAGTGATGAGGACTTAGCTAAACGTTTGTATCGTGAAGAATCTGAAAATTATCATGGGCATAATACGGTCGCAGGAAGTCAAACCGGTGGAATGTATAGTCCTAAAGGAGAGGCTGCATCTTACTACGCAAATGTGAATGAGCCAGGACAAAGAGTCTCTGGAGCACAAATTCAAGGAACTACAGAAAACACCAAAAAACATCCAAAACCAGCCAGCGCATATGATGATCCTAAAATACAAGTACAGTTGGAAAAGCGACCAAGATGGAGACCATATTTTACATGGGTTGTTACTACTGTTCATTTAGCAATGTTTATTTACGGATTTATAAAAAATCAAGAATTATATGGAACTCTTATTCAGACACAACCTCTTAACCCAATGATCGGTCCATCATCACTGGTTAGTGGTTTTTTTATGAATTAATAATATATAACAAATATAAAAATATATAATTAATTAATTTTTACCTATTCAT